ATCCCCCCTTGCAATAGTCCTATCCTGGTCAAAATCATTGTGTTAATCAAAGGAAAAAGTCTTAATTCCAGCGGATACTGATCCATCTAGAGATATCTACTCCCACCGTTTGTGTTTTCTTGATAAATTTAATCCAAGAACAGTATATGAGAGGGATGAGATTAATTAATGCCCCGTGATTCGGAAACTTAAATATTGGTATTTAAATAAGATAAGGCGAGGGATGAGAAACCTACCTTTTGATTAAGAGGTCCGGCTGCACCACTTGGTGGCAGAAGGCGCGCACGTATCTGGGCGATGCCATCACGAGGGATGAGATGTAATCACTACCGTCTGATGGAAAAGTTGCGGTTCGATTTGCATTTCTAAGTCCCGCTTCGCCCACCACTCCATTTCTTCCGGGCTTTGAGCTTTTGGTTCTTGGAAACTAAGTGCGATAATGGCCGTTGATCTGGTGAGGGCACGAAGATGGACGAGCGGATGGCGTTCCAGAGGGAGGCGGCGATGGCGGAGTTCCGCTCCTTGGAGCGACTCGTCTCGCCGCAGCTCGACTGCCGCGACATCACCGAGCTCACCGTCTCCAAGTTCAAGAAGATCACCCCCATGTTCCACCGCACCGGCCACGCCCGATTCCACCGCCGTCCAGACCCGACCTCTACGTCGAGGCCGGCGCCGCAGCCCATGGGCCTCGCCCCGGCCAAGCCGCCTGCGCGGAGCCTGACCCTGGACTTCACAAAGCCGATCGCCTGAAGAGGGTGATACGATACGCGCGCCAGAAACAAGCTGGAAGATGATCTATATCCCATCCGAGGGGTACTCGTGGCGCAAGTACGGGCGGAAGCCAATCAAGGGCTCCGCCTACCCAAGTTAAGCACCTCCCTCCTCCTCTTCCGCCGCCTCTTCCCTACCGTCTGACCCAGATCGTGCAGCTAAACCCCCTCTCTTCCTCCTCCATCACAGGCGGTACGCCAATGGCCGCCGCGGCAACACTGCGCCGCCCGTGCCCGCCGATGCCACCGTCGCGGCCGTCCGATGCACGAGATCACCACATCACGCCCGTCCGTTCTCTCCTCTCTCTTTGTGTGAGACGGCGCCGCGGAGAAACGGGGGTGGCGGCGTTAAGACGGAACCGAAACCTGGGGTTACCATTCCCGCGCTGGATCTCATGAGCGGTTTCAAGTCCGCGGGCGTGATCTCTACGCAGCAATTCATGCTTGATAACGGATCCTCGTCGATCCGAAACCCGATACCATCTTTATCTCAATTATAATATCATTTTCTAAGCAGTCTCCATGAAACCTATAAAATATTTCAACACCAATTTGTTCCCCCATGAGATGTCATACCTCTTGTGAAGCTATAGATGCCGCCTGACTACTGCTTTTAGATTCTTATCCGAGACTTCTTTGTCACGGTATGAATTTGGAGACATTCATTGTCAAGAATTTATTTTCTTATGCTTATCATCGATGCCTTATTTTTCCCAAAAAGAATTTATCATGTGCCGACTTCAGACTCGTTCATCACCTCTGACTCTGTATAGTTTCTGAGAAGCTGCTACATCTGAAAGCTATCTTGTCCTTCTTCTTCTTCTTCTTCTGGGACTCTGATGTCCCCCACCTACCCGCGTGAACTTGTGCTCATCCACCGGTCTTCGCTTCTCCACCACCAATCTCTCTCCCTCTTCTCGGCAACGACTTATCTTGTACAGTGCTTGCAGGCCCTCAGGTGGGCCTTCCTCCACCGACTTCTCACGTAGTGTATGGCCATGACGAAGGAGACTCCGCCTGCCGCCGCAGTCGAGACCGATCCCCTCAGCAGCGATCCATGAGCCTCTTCCACACGGTTCCATGTTAGTGTTAATACTTCAGCTCGGCAGACAATCTGTCTGCCAGCAGCTAAAAGACTGGGACAACACGTTTTGTCAAGCAACGTGAACTGTTTCACTCTTCCTCGGTTGCAGAAATGTGTGCCTCGGTTGACAAATGGAGACCAGCAGGAAGGGATGATCAGTGATTGGATGCTGATCATGAAAGCGAAGAGTGGCAAATAGCGTAGTTGTCGAGCGTGATCATCTTTCTCTCGATTATTTCATGTTCTTTGACCATCGGAGTCACGTACGCGGACAGTATACATTCTCCCGTCTGCATCAGAGAGGGAGAAGAAGCCGACCGGTTCGTGTTCCGGTGGGGTTTCAGGTGGCATGCCCTATTTGTTGTGTGTGGTGTCGACGGTCGTGTCTTTTGTCGTGGACGCAGGCACGTTTTGGAGTCGTGTTTGAACGTGTCAAACCCCGTCACCTTATCTTCCGCGTCCTTACTTCCATTTCTTTATATGCTCTCTCCTCTTCTCTCTGTCGCTTCTCTTTTCATCTCTTGGGGACACCAACCACCAAAGATTTAGCACAAGGAAACGCCCAGCTGAGTTGGGATCTTGGAGAAGCTTGCTTTCTGTCTGGCTCCCTCGCCGCCGATCCGGCGATTGATGACAACAGCGTCGCCGGGGCTCAACAGAAGGCTCTAGAGAGGAGGAGGAGGAAAGAACAGGAAGGAGCGGATGTCTTCCCTCTTGCTGTCCAACGTGCTGCGGTACCACCGCGGCGAGCAGCAGGAGAAGGTGGAGGAGGAAGGAAAGGCGGTGGGGAAGAGTAATGGGTTCCGTTTGGGTAGTAGAGAAGAGGCGGACGCGTCGTCGGACAGCTCCTCCATCGGCGCCGCCTCAACTTTGTCGTCGGACAGGAACGGCTCAGACCATGGCGGCGAGGAGGACGAGGAAGAGGTGGAGAGCAAGAGAAAAGATGGGGCTTTGGGGTCCTTGGATTCCTTGGAAGACTCACTTCCCATAAAGTATCCTTCTCTCTCTCTCTCTATCCATGATCGAGCTGTTCTTGCTCAGATTTAGGGATGTTTCGAGTTGGATCAGAGTGAAATATGATGTCTCTCAACATGATCTAAATCTTGCTCCGAATTACTGCAGGCGAGGGTTATCCAACTTCTTCTCGGGGAAGTCCAAATCCTTCGCGAGCTTGTCAGACGTGGTCAACGCGAGCACCAACGACATCGTGAAGCCCGAAAACCCCTTCAACAAGCGCAGGAGGGTCCTGATGATGAGCAAGATGAGGCGAGCCTCCTGCAGCTCCCTCGTCTGCCCACCATTGCCACCACTCTCGGCCCCAGCTCACACTGTGGCGGAAGCAGAGGAGGACGAAGAGGAGGAAGAAGACGAAGAAAAGGAGAAACATGGTGGAAGATCACCTCCCTCCATGGGTCCCTTCCCCCGCCATGGCAACAGCAGCAGCATGAGGAGGAACAAGGCTTTCAGGTCTCCAAGATCCTTCTCCCTCTCTGATCTCCAACATGTCTAACTGTATGTAGTAAATCAAACTCGAAGAAATGGTACATGTTATTAATGGAGATTAATATATTAAATAGCTTTACATGATTTATTTTTCCTCCCATCCGAAAAAAATATTAGCATCAAATCTTTGGGGATCTTATCGTGGCCTTCTGTATACGGCAAGTGTGGTTAATTATTAGGCGGAGGATAAGATAAGGTCTAAGAGAGCACATGCCATGGACATGTCGTGGTGTTCTTATCCTCAAACCCAAACAATGCTTCGTCCTCCTATGTGGTTTTGACAACGTGCTGGGTTTAGCATTTTGTAATGATATGATCAATTTTATACCAACTAAAATGACCAAATGGATTAATTAATCTTCCGAAGCATCTTGTAATTATTTATCATAAGGTGTTTCTTTATTAAGAATTTATTTAGGAATAGTTTTTCTATCTTGTGTCTCTTTCTCTTCTTTCCTTTTCACTTCATCTTTCTATTATTTTTTAAATAAATAAATAAAAATAAGAGTGAAGGTAATCAAATAAATAAATAAATAAGATTGGAGGAAAAGGAGGAGAAAAAAATAACCCAATAAAACCTAAATGATTATGGGTATATTTATTTATTTATTTATTTATGAAAATATTATTTCTTAGATAAATTCTCACAGAACCATTAAATCAACACAGAATCATAATGGAATCAGGTTAATAATTTGATGGTTTTGAACTGAATCAAAATCGAAGTCCTATGGTTTGATTTTTTACTTTTACAAATTAAAACTAAAATTGATTGATTGGATTCCAAATCGATTAAAAATTAAAAAAAAATAGAAGAAGGATTGAATCTTGATGGAATATTTTTAATTTTTTTAACATTTGGAACTAATAATTCAAATGAAAATCATTTGAAATCAATTCAGTTCTGATTCTAATTTGATAGGTCTAGTATTATCTAGTAAAAATTAATTATTAGAAATTTTTTTAGGTAAATGGTCATATATATATATATATATTCTAAGTGATTTTAAAAAAAAATTCATATTTTGGGTATTTCTCAATGGATTACTCCCTTTTATTTTTTTTTCCAACTTTGTTCGCAATTTGAAAAATACTTAAATTTTTTTCATCAATTTTTTTGCTTTTTTTACTAGTTTTATAATATTTATGATATTTTATTCAGATATTAAAAATATTATAAATACTATCAAAAAATATTATAAGTAATATTATGTCTCTTTGATTGTCATTACTCTTAGATCATTAGAATATTATATTTTCAAACTTAGAATTAGTTTGGTTAAGGCTAGGAGTTCATTCGGATCATTTATAGAATTTCATATATATTTTATGGTATCTTTATTGTGATAGTCGAAACACTATTATAAACTAATTTTTAATTTTTATTCAGGTAATGTCATTTTTAAATTATTATAAATACCTTGTAATGTTTTTATTGCGATAGCCAAACAACTCTAACATGCAAAAAAAAAATAGAAATAGTTTGAGTATTTTTTAAATTAAGAGTACTACTTGAAAAATTAAAATTAGGGTATCCATTGAGAAACATCCAAAATATAAATATTTTCTAAAAAAATATTATAATATATATATATATATATATATATCTCATTAACGTAAAATAAAAAGAAAAGAAAAAAAGCTACAAAGCGGCATGTTGGTCATTCCAATATACATACAATACACCGCGAGGGAGGGCAAACGCGTGCTTCATTCTACGGCTATCCTCCCGGGCAGAACCGAGCCCATGAACCCAAACTCCACCACATTTCCCTCTTTACCCTCCACACTCAGTCTCACATTCCCGCCCTTTTCGACCGTCCTCAAGGAGGCTTGGAATACCTCCCCCACCCACCTCTCAAAGAAGCTCTCCGAGAAGGAACCAGCGGCCGCCATCAGCTCCTCCACCGCCGCCCCATCGATCGACAGCTGCCCCGTCCCCTCGTCGCCGCTCCTCGCCTCGTCGAATGCCCGGCGGAGCTTCGAAGCGAGATTCTCCGATGCGAGGCTCGGCCTCTCCAGGGTGAACTGAGCAGTCATTAGGTCGATCAGCTGAGGTGGAAGAGGGGGCGGCATCCCTCCGTCGGTCTCGCTGGTTAGGTCGCTCGGGACGTCTTCATCCTCCTTGCTGTCGCTGCAGCACCACCCCCTGTCTTCCTCCTCCTCCTCAGCAAGTAGGTTCAGGTCAATGCCGCGATCCCTTATTCGAGGTCTCTTTGATTCGTCCTGCAACTCGGTTTCGGGCTTCCTTTTGAGATCGCTCTTGGTTGAGCGTCCTTCGGCCCGCAACATCATCTTGATCACACCGTTGGATCCCCCGCCGATGTCTTCGCAGTCGGCCGAATGTGATGTGGTCATGACAAAGATTGAATCAGCCAAGCACACTTCTTCTCCGGATGAATTCTCAAAAGCTCCCGCCTTTAGGACATCTGCGAGAGATCTGAGGAACCCGGTATCTGCTTGATCGATGTCCTCAATGAGAACCACAAACTTGGAATCCTTCTCAAAGGCTTCTCCGAGGATCTCTCCACATGAGCTGGTTTCGCTCGCCCCTTTCCTCATGTTGACGTGTATTAGCTTGTGCGTGGATCCACCAAAATGCTCGAGCATCACTCGCGCCAGTCTCCTCTTGGAAATGCCATCACTACCGCATAACAGCAGGCGAAGGGCCTTGTTTTCGCATGTTCTGCATTCGCTCAGTGCTTCCACAATCGCAGGGATGATCTCGGATTGCCAAGGCATGTTGTCTTGCAACTTCTGGGTTAATTCTCGTCGGCCTACCATTGCTTCTTCCTGCTCGTTCGATGTCGCCGAATCTGAGACTGCAGCACTACACAGAGACAGAGTGATTCCAACATCCTGATTTCCTGGCTTTCTGAGGGAATTCAAGCTGACTTCTGAAGGCCTTGGCTTTGGTTCATCCTTTTGCTGCCAGCTTCGCATTCCATTTCTCAGATCGACGGAGTTGAAGGGGGAACCACCATCAAGTTCTGCAGTGGCCTCAGAGAAAGACAGAGAATATGGTTGCATCATGATCTTGCTCTGGTTGCTGCTAGACCACCATGGATACGATGAAGAGCAGGTGTTGTTCTTGCCAGTGGAGCTCTGACTGAAGAAGGGGGGATACAAATGGCTTTGACGTTGTCTAGTGTGATGGAGACTTTGGCACAGACTGTTCCATTTCCTTTTCAATTCCAGCAAGGCATTTCCTTTACAAATGACATTGATCTTGCTCTGGTGGTGCTTGTCTGGTCTCTGTCTTTGCAGCCAGGATGGCAATTGTACTGAGCCAAAGTTGGTGTCTTTGGCCTCTGACTTGAGAACCAAAGCTTCTTTCTCAAAATGGGCGGTGCATTCATCACAACACATGAGCTTCTCACCATCCTTGGAGCTAAAAACCTCTGAACCAAGAAGTTGAAGCGGATACTCCCTGACTTTAGTAGACCTTGAGTCTGGGCCACTACAGAACAAGGTAAAAGAAATAGGACTAGATTAGAGCTAAATGATTTGAATACCATCTGATACTTGTACATTTTTTTCTCTGCATCATTGTATTTTTGCTTAATAATTAAGGCAATGTTGATGCTCAGACCACTGCACATTCTTTGTTAGGAAACAAGAGCTGGAGCACAGGAAAGCATCATAGCATTGAGAAAGACATGAGGCTTTGTGTTGGTGGTCTCACCTGGGAGCTCGGAGGCTCAATGCAAGCCCACCTGATGGAACCACCACAGCTTGAAGGGCCCACTGCTTCTCAAGAGATGGCTGCCTCATCTGGCACCTCAGGTATGTGCTATAGCTTGCAGTAGCCAGCAACCACACCTTGTTGTTCACGGTTCCTCCGACATGGCTGATGCTGCTCCTGAACTCACAGAGCAACCTTCCCAGCTCTGCAACCATGTGCTCCACTGGCCTAAATCCACATCCATCCTTTGTTTCCTCATCAACTGCCCATCTCAAATTCCCTGCATAGATGATGACATTCCTACCTACTTCATCTGATGCCATGGAACTAATCTTTTTCCTGAGGTCAGAGACCTCCAGGTCGACATCACTCTTCCTCATGAGCCTGAGGTGAACGTAGGAGAGGTGAAGTTTTATGATATCAGCAGACTTGAGCTCATCGGGGACATCTCCTCTCTCCACCTTCGCCATGAGCTCAGTTACAACCCCCTCTGTCATGGCAACCGAGTCCCCCACCACTACAGTGTTGGTCCTCCTCCCTTGTTTTCTCAGCATCACCTCCATTACCGCGCTCAAATCCTCCTTTTGGGAGGACTGAGCTGGAACCGGTGGGCTTTGCTGAGAAGACAGCTTATACAATGGGCTCTTCCAGAAGCTACTTCCATGGCCGATGATATCTTTGTGTGGCTCGAGCAAGAACGGAGTGGACTGGCCCAAAACGGAGCTCTCCTCCTCCAAGTTGTTCTTAACACAGGTACTGGAGAAGCCAGCTTCCCTCATCACCCTGCTCACACTCGGGTCGTCCAAGATGGAGATGATGAGCTGCTCCAGCTCCACCTTGATGGCCAAGAGAGGCTGCTGCTGTTGCTGTTGGAGCTCAACGCAGCCCCTCCTCTGGTGGGCCTGCGCTCTCTTGAGGGCTGCAATGAGAGCATTGGAGAGGCCGGAGGAGGGCGGGGAAGGAGCGGTGGGGAGCCTGTTGAGGGCCACATTGAGGCAGAGCTCAAGCGCTCTGCAGCGGAGGGGGTGGGAGGCGGGATGGTGAGGGTGGGACCTGAGGCAAGCTCTTCTGAGGAGACTGGAGGAGGCAGAAGAAGAGGAGCTCAGAAGCGTGGCAGCGACATGGAGAGGGGTGACCTGGGCATGGCCTCTCCGGCTGGCCAAGCCGAGGGAGTGCTTGAGGACCGAGGCCGCCTCCGCGGTGAGGGCCTGTTGCAGTGTGCAAGCTCCTGTTCGCATTACTTAGCTCCCCACACCAACCCCCCCACCGCCCCAATGTTTTCTTACCTCTTCCTTGCACTTCGAACACAGCCTGCCTTCCTCTACTTCTCGGTGCCCTTCTTCTTCTTCTCTCTCACCTAAACCAACCCCAGCGTTTCTCTCTCCGTGGTTCAGTGGAAGCTAGAACTGGAGATGCAATGCTTGCTCTCTCTTTCTCTTCTTCTCCTTCTACTACTACTACTTTGTGGATATTAGAGTTGAGTTGCTAGCAGAAGAAGGTAGAAGAACTAAGCGGAATGAGATTTATATAGCGAAACTCTCTCTCTCTCTCTCTCTCTCTCTCTCTCTCTCTCTCTGGCTTTTTGCTGTTGTGATTGTGGCACTGTTGCTTTTGGATTTCCCATTCAAGGATTGCTCGCTTTCACATTCTGTACCTTTTTTGGCCTAATCCCATTCGTTTGCTTTGGTAACGTTTGTGCCAACGCAAGGCAAACACCATGATTGCTTCATGCAACACCTCAATCCACATCATCTCTGTCCATCATCACTAATCCAAGACCACCAAAAGAACCTATTCATATATATTTTTTGCATCATCACCATGTCTATATCATGTTTAATCAGTGTTAATGATGCATATGCCACACACTGGAAGCTTAATGATCACAACAATGGAAATAGTTTCACGTCTCACTAATAGTTTATCTGAACTTGCATACTGCTAAACCTAATCTAAGCTATCTTTTCCTTCACAGGCATATGCTTTCAGAAAGGCAGCAACAGGAGGACCCACCCTTCCCTCCTTTTAACGTATAAACTCTTTTGAGTGACAGACGAAGGAATGGAAATGAGAGAAAGCAGCGAAGAGGAGGAAGAAAATGAGAAGAAAGAATGGAAGATGTGATCAAAGCAGCAGCGCATACACAACTTTTATGCAAGCATCGTCTCACTTTTTCTTTTTATCTTTGGTGCAAGCTACAGTGCGATATCTCCTCGTCTCAAAAGAAAGGAAAAGGAAGAGATCCCCTTGCAGCAATCCTCATGAATCAGTGTTAATGGTCCTTGGATTCAAGTACCCAAAAAGCACGAGTTCATGTCTGCAGCTCTTGCATGGCATCAGCACAAGCCCTTCCTGTGACCTCGAAAAAGTTCATGTGATCTCCAAAGAATAACAAGTGCTTCATGTTCCCTTCTTCTGCTGCTGCTGCTGTTTTAATCATGCATCAATTCCCCAAATCATATAAGCAGCATTTATCTTTTTCATATCAAAGAAAGACAAGGATTCTTATTTTTTGGTATATAGCAAAAAAACCTGATGAACTATGGAATTACAGACTGATTCTTTGGAAACATCAAATTGTTCTTCACATTGCCATTTTGGAGGTATCAAAAAAGTCACCTTGACAATGCTAGTCCCTTTCTGAAACCTATATAAACAATTCGATTTTAGGAAGATATGCTAACAATTAGTAGATTCTGGCTTCAACTCACATGTTGAGGCCACTAACACTAGAGAGAGAGAGAGAGAGAGAGAGAGTTATTAGGTCTGATCTCCAAATGTCAGCTGAAACTAGTCAATGAGAAGTACCATTTCTTTGCTAAGTTCCACGACCAAGTATCTTTTCTTGTCGCCGGACATCTAATATGTTCTCTCGACAAGCTTCTTCCAAGATTAACCTCATGTACTTGAACCATAGACTCATGATATTAGCTAATACGTGACATGCTTCTTCTTATGTTCGCCACTGACTCCAATTCGAACTCCGTAATGATACAAGAACAAAAGCAGAAGTACACCTGGTCGACAGTTTATTGGTGACGACATGCAGTGATCTGCTATTCAAACAGTGAATGTACCACCTCGCCTCCCCTCATTGCCAAAGCTCTTCCTCGCTCTGCATGCAGGTGTGCCAAAAGCAGGCAGGGATAAGAACGTCGAGCCATGATGGGGATCAGCTGCCGGGGAAACAACTGGCGGGCATATATGTGTGTTTAGTGCAGCAGCATTCATTAGGTTTTCCGAGGCGAAGGAAAAGTCGACGATGGTACTGCGCAGGAGATCGACGCGCGTGAAGTGATGCAATACGCGGATACGCTTTCGATCTGCGAACGCATTCTTTTCCTCCTTCTCATGGCGTTGCCTTTTTGACCAGTCTTTTTGAGCTCAGACCGCTTTGGTATCCGTGAAAGCGCCGTCCCCCATCCCTTCTTTTCTCTCTCCCTCTCGCGATAACACGCAGAAGAAGATCCGTTGCTTCATTTTGGTAGGGTATGCATGTATATCTGCTAGCAGTAAATGTAACCATAGATGAGCAAGCCTCTATCTATCTTTTCTGTGAGATTACCATATTCGACAAGTTCCTCATTGATCATCTCATTCTGACATCTCAGGTGATCATGCAACACATCTCGACCTCATCATTTGCCTGAAACAACGGTGTGTGTTGCTTCATCTCCGGCCTTTCACAGTGCAAGTATTGTCTCAACAAATGGAAGTACTTCTTAAACTGTGTTGGATGATATCATATCATTAGATGGAAGTGTGAGTGGATGTTTTCTTGGGTGTGCCATTTCTCCCATAAAGCCAGTTAGCAAATCAAGTGGGTGTGCCGACACACAAGAAAAAGGACTCCTTTGTGGCCTCAGGAGTCGAGCATTTACGTGAAAGGGTGAAACTTTGGGAAGCTGTAACTTTTCTCGCATGTTCGGAAAGGAATAGGATCAATCGAGGCGATGACAAAAGCAATCGAATGAAAATTACAAGCATCTGCAGGCTTTAAAAAGTGCACATCTCTACTGACATCATGGAACATAAAGCAAAGCATATATCCATCCATTCCCCAACCTTTTGAACCAGTGAAATCACACAGACTCACAACTAGTTTTTCCTTTTCTAAAGGAGTTTCTGATCACTCTCTCTTCTTCTCTTTCTGATTCAAGAGGAACATGAATGTATTATTTTTAGCTTTTCTTATATGTTTTGCTCTACGTAATTCATGCACATAAACAAAGCACAAGATGGCATGCACAAAAACGTAAAGATTCCATGGTAAAGCATAAGCTCTCATATGATTGGTACCGTGCTGATCACTGACTCGAAATCTTTGCTGGGACAGCATGAGAAAGCAAGCTGTACCTCTAAGAGAGAGAGAGAGAGGAAGAGGATGGTACACATGGATAAAGTGGAGCAAGAGAGGGGTAGTGCATGGGTTATAGCATGCCTCCAAGAAAGAAAGAAAGAGAAAGAGAAAGAGAAGGCCCCAAAGGAAACATTAAAATATTGCAGCTGCCTTTCTTTTCTGTCTCGCAGCATGAGGCAGACTTGCCCCTCTCTCCCCTCTTTCTCACACAAAACAGGAACCGCTCGTTACCCTTTCTTGGCTGAAACCACCATCGGTGAGAACGTAGTAATCGATTTAGTGATTGGTATTAATGGTCACTGTGATTCCTCGATGAAGAGTCTAAAACATGCCTGTTTCTTGATGATTAGTGGCCTATGTGTGTTTGGTGAGAGGTGCATGCAGCTTGGGAGCTCAAATGGTTGATGCTGCAGCACTCGAGCTGACATGGTGGTCCACAAGGTGCATGCTGCAGCATTTGCAGAACCTTGGAAGTGATCTTGAGCTGAAATGAGAGTGATCAGGTACCAAAAAGTGGAATCAGATGAGCCTGCCGACTGTGAGAGGACGGACCATCGGGCAATGTGACCTCCTTGTAAGGAAGAGAGATTGATGCAATTGATCTCCCATGATACTGTGTACATTCATGATAAAAGATGGCTGAACGCATGATCCAGTAAGCATTCAGAAGAAGACAGAAGAGAATTTAATCGTATGATATGAAAATTATGTGTCATGGAAGAGAGGGACATAAGTCAGGATAAAGCAGAGCGCAGTCATGTCCTCTCCCTCGGAGTCTCCGCAAACTGGGGGAGAGACGAAGGGGAATGAGAGAAGGAATGTCTTGTAGCTCTGCTCCCTTGAGAAGCACAGAGGGAGGTGTCACTGCACAGGACAAGAGGGTCGGGGTGGAGAGTGATGGGGAAAAGAGATATGGGACTGAGGTGGATGCACACTGAGATGAGCTTGGAATGGAAACAAGCAGAATGTAGCTTGATTGATGAAAGGCTTCGGAGGGGACAAATCGGCTTAGGATACTAAGAAATGTGGCAAAATGCCAAGAGGATGAAACCTCTTGGATTCTTGGGAGGGCCATTGAAGGATTGCGCGTGCTGCTGCTGCTGCTTTCTCTCTCTCGAGTTGGGGCACTCCTTTTGAAGCTCAATTTCATGGATTCTCTTTGTCAGCATGAAACCCATCACTCCTATCAAGGGTTTGTGTACTCATTACGGTCTTTGGGTCCGAGTCTAAGATCATGTTGTCATGCCTTTTATCTTTGTCTTCCTTTACTCTTTCTTTTTCTTCTTGCCTTTCTTGATTGGTTCACTGGCTTTGTTCCTTTGCGCGTGGGATTAATCCAGTGGATTAGGTTTCAGTAGATCTACAAGTCGGAGAAGATTAATGTACATATTTCTAGCTTTTCTTCTGAACGAATGACGCAGGGGACTATCCCCTGCTAGCCCCGGAGCTTAGAGTATAGGCAAAATACATCATTATAATTGTCCTAACCTGACGCTATCTTTCGAAAGACGTGCTCGTTAGTTGTTACTATTAATGATCCTCTAGATAGGATAAGTAGCACCCTAACTTATCATCGACTTCACGCCACTAACCATTTATGTATAAAAGCCAAGCCCCCAAACCAAACAAGAACAAGCGGGCTTTACTTGTACTCGTGAGTTTTACTAAACCCTCTTTATTTTTTTATGCTACTAATTTAAGTATCAGATGGATCAAGTCGGGACATTCCCTTCGACGCTGACCCTTATGTAGGATCTCGGCACCTGATGTAATAACATTTTGACGCTAGAAGAATAGTTAAATTTCAATGGTAAGCTCTCATTCTAGTGCCAATCTGATAAGTCAGATTTTGTCGTTGTTGGTGCGATGGGCTTACAAAGAATTATCCATTTTGAACAATGAACGTATCTACACAATTTTATCTTTTCGAAGCTTATAAGGATAAGAGTGATCTGACGGATCTACGAGCTATTGGTTCCCTTACTTCTTAATCAATATGATACTAAATTTTCTTATCAATGCTTCCTCCCGTGAAAAATATGCATAAAAATACATGCAAGACGCGTAGCTAAGCATATTAATTGCGCGCCTAAAGCACCCCCTTATTCAGGACAACACAAAATGCATCCTCGGCGCACTCGTAAACGTGGGGAACCTGATGTCCAAGACACAGAAACTACCGGAGCCTCGAGTGACCTCTCGACCAAGCCACGTTCTGAGTTTCGAGCGGGAGGGCGACGGAGTCATGGGGAGGACAAATGATGGGAGAGAAAAGTTCGATTGGCGATCACCCAACCCAAGTAACAGTGGTAAAAAGAAAATATTTAGCTTATACCCTAAAATATTCTCTTAGATCCGACATTTTATGAACCATCTGTTTATTGTGAATTCTTCTTCCCACTTCGGTCCTAAAACGTTGGGAGGGACTCGACCGGGCCCCTTCCACCCGGGGGTTTGCTCTTCTTTTAGATCGATCGTTGGGTGAGCAAACAAACACAGAAGCTATCATCTTCGACACTCCGATGCTCCACACACATGGCTCATTCATGACCAAATCGGGCTAACAGAAACATCAACCGTCAATTAACGAGCAGCAGTAAAACACTTGCTCACACATCTGACGTGAATGAGTAGTAGTTGGATGCAATAGTAGTAGTCAGAATAGTTTAATTTATCATCATGTTTTAAGCTGGTAACATGTCCCTTGGGAGACTTGACAATTTCCTGTTCTATTTTCTGCCTTTATGTTTCAAGACAAACAGATTTCTAGCACAAGGAATTGAAACTCGTCAAGAGTTTCTAATGGCAGAATCAAAAAACAAAACCACTGTGTTGCTTCTGATCGTTTGCTTAATAAGAGCGATAATCTTAAATTTCAAGAGTAAAAGATCAACTGATAAACAACTACACTCATGCCCCTTATTATTAATTGGCAATCACTTTACAGAAACAAAAGCATTGCTTGTAAAAAGATTGCATGCAAGATTTAACAGAGGGCAGATGGTAGAAAGGGCACATAACAATGTCAAATAGTCCTTGATCATCAACACAAGATAGACAACATGAGAAGATATAATACAGGCAAATATATGGTGCTTTCTAAGATCATAAATATAAAAGTACAGATTTCCCTCCTCAAAATTATCTTTCCTTCCAACCAGGATACCCCTCATGATGATGCTGTGTCGCGGTCATTGGCAGTATTAGGAGGCTGATGCTCAGCTACAGGTGCAGAGGCTCCGTTCTGGGGAGAAACAAAAAGTAGTGATGAGAATCACTACTTCGTATGAGAAACACACGATGCATCTTGCGGAGCTTTGTGACGGCATTTGAAGAGACATACAGAAACAGCTAAAGTCTATTTTGACTTTTTTTAATTTCTGAAAGGAAAGTGCCTTAGCAGAAAATGACCTACCACTTCATTTCCTTCTGAAGGGCCATTGTGTGTAAGCAAAGATGGATTTTTTGACAAGTCCCTCAATGTACCCTGCAGGACCCGTGAAGCCATAGAAGATAATTAAAATAAACAAGTTAATAGATGACAAGTGACAATTCTTTGGAGTTCCATATAGATGCTCCAGTATGTTATGCATCCTTCCAGAGAACATAGAGGAAAACTCAAGGATTGTGTTCTAGCCTTCAAATTAACATGGATATCAGTATTTACATGAAAAAACATCAATCCAAAATGCACAACACACCATAGTATATAATTCATCTCTCACCATGTCATTCTCACGACAGCAGAGTCAAGGCTTACGAATGTGTTGTTTCGTTCAATGCACTAGCATGGTGTGGAACTAACTGGCAGGCATTAGCTGTACAGGTACAGTATGCCACAGTCGAGCACTCACAGCGCGTTCAACAGCGTAACATGAGCCTTAAGTGCCATGCCAGCAATTTCATGGCATGACATGTTAACACTTGAATGCTGGGAAAAAATATGCAACGTGGAAAATATCTTACATGCAAAGATAGCAAGTCTACAAGGAAACCAAAAAATAAAAGTTCCTAGACAAGAATCCAACTGTATAAAAGTCAACATATAAGTACTAAAAAACATATGAAGAAATACAACGTTCTGTAGCAAATTGATCTACATAAGGAATAATACCTTGTTTGCCCACATAAGTCCACAAGCATTACATAGAGTCCTTGGTCCTTCAGGTCCGCGGCGCATCATTGGAGTAGATTTCGAGCTGATGCCACAGTGATGGCAACTGAAAGTTTTCAAGGAAATGACATTATTGAAAGCCTAAGCATCAAAATAGTGTTATGTCTATGTTAGAACCTAAGACAAGAATTCATTGTTCAGGATCATTGCAAAAGGTATCGCAACATTCTGATATATGTTAAATAACAAATCTTTTCTTTTACAAATTATCTTCCAACATGCTGATGGATACATGAATATATTACGGAGCCTATAAATCGACGGCTAAACTCAAGAGTTGCAACTTGTCCTACCAAAAGATTTTTACTTATGAATTTCTAAACAGCCACCAAAAGAAAGAAGTTAGAGAAACATACACAGCTGCTGATGGTGGTCGACCTTCGATTGAACCCCACCGCTGGATTCCCTCACAATTAGTAACAGACGAAGTTGCATCCTCAGGCTTTGATTTTGATGATGTGAACTGACCTCTATTCCGCTGCATCCTGTAAATGTGTAGATCAATAGTCATGAATAAGGCATATGTTCCAAAATACATGTAGCAAATACAATAGTCAAAAATCCAAAATCATGAAGTTAATGTTAAAAAAAACACAAAAGTTGTGCAGTATCTATAATGCACCGGGAACCACCATTCACAGCATACAACATCTAAGAAATGATATGAAATGCACCATGCTTCCACCTCTTATTCCGAGAACTTTGCAGCCACGAACCAAACACCAAACTTTGATGGTAAGACAGCACACATTGCATCCTTATAGTTGTCATTTATTGGCAAGAACCTTTTAGATTTCCACATTACTAAAAGTCCGACAAGAGCTACTGATAATCTATAGAACTTTTGTTGCCGAAATCCTCATCTATAATCTCAAATACAACTCAGAGAGTACACCACCTGTTAAAGTATTGAGAAAACTAATGCAAAATGATTGCAGAAAAATTTGACAGGAAATTTATCTCTTACCTGAGAGCAACTTCTTTCCGAACAGCATACCGTATCTTCTTGTCAAAATTCCGCTCTTTCCGCTTCTCTCGAAACCTCATAAGTGAAGCAACTCTGTGAGGGAAATTCAAGCGCTGTAAAGCACCAAAAGATGAAGCTGCAAAGTTAAGCACCTCCCAAATCCATCCACCATCCCATTAAAGATCCTGTAGCCTAACAAGTACCTTATTCAGTGGATTGGAAGCTGACACAATCGAAGCTGGGTTAGTTGCAATTTCACGCCCTCCCAATAACAAAAGCACGGCTTGAACCTATAGGAAAAGCAAGTCTATTACCATCCAAAGAGAAGAGCACCAGACGCTGTTATTTCACGAGTAAACAGAAATAGCACGCAAAATATAACCTTTTCAGGAGAGACGGAATCGAACACGTAGACCTCCCCCTGGAACGACAGGGTGAGCTGATTGCTGGTGACCGGAGGCACGACCACCGCGTGTGGATCCCCCAAACCTCCATGATCGGGTAGCGCGTCGCCCTCCATCCCCTCCCCTTCGACAGCACCGTCGAAATCTTCATCCACACCGTCGCCACCGCCATTATTGTCCCTGTCGTTCCCGTACGTCTGCATCGCCCTGGCGTCGGCCTCCGCGATCATATGGCCCTCGGCGACGCCTGGCTGCCGGACGAAGCCGGCCGTCCTCAATTCGGCCGTCTGGCCGGGTTTCCCACTCATTCCTCTTTCCTCTCGCCGTAAGCCGCGATCAAAAACAAGAACACCGCGAAAAGTTCCATCATCTACATGATCTTTGGGATTGGTCGGTTCCACCGGGAGCAGTAACATGGAAAACGAACACGCTCAGATCGGATTCCATCAAAGGCCATGCATGACTAGCCGAATGGAAGAACACCCGATTTCTCGTTCAATCTGAGAGAGGAGAGGGGACAAAAACCCTAAGGATTTGGGGCACGGAGATGAGAACCAAGCGAGGATTACCTGATACGGCACGTACGAAAGGGTCCTCGACGGATTTCAATCAAATCAGGGCCGTAGAATATGAAACATACGGTCGTCGAAGATTCCTTGCGGTCCGATATCCACATAAAATGGGCTTAATGGGCCAACACCTCCGGCCCAACGTTCGCATACTATTTACGTTATATATGCATTTGATCGATTCCAGCAAGTTAAAGCAAGTTTATAAAAATTTTATTAAATAGAAAAATAATGATTCGATGCTAATCATTTAGCTTTATTAAAAACAATTTTATTTAAATCAAGAAAATTAATTAATAATAATAAAATAAAAAAGGATAAAAATAACACTATATAACCTGCAACCAAAGACACGATAAGCTACAAGTAATTAAGCAGTACAGTCAAAATGAAATATGATGCTAAGAATAATTATCGTATATTTTTTTAAACAGGCCCGAAATAAAACCAACGCGACACGCTCCACACGTGCAATGGGATGCCATCTGCACATGGTCAGATCACGTTACGTCCTCAGGCGCGCCCCGCACGTGCACTGCCACCTCGACGCGACGCCCTTCAGGCGCGAACGAGCGAGCCGCACCTGCTGCAGGTTACGGACGCGACCTTCGCCTTCGCGCCCTCCCCCGCCCCCCGCGGCCTTCGACCCTCGAGGTGGCGGCCCCTTCCATCTCCTCCTCCTGCCCCGCCTTGGAGTCGGCGGTGGAGACGCAGGACTCCTGCGGCGACGACGCGGAGGAGGACAGCTCGGGTGCGTCGGGGCCGCAGGAGCGGCAGATCGAACGGACCGAGGGGGACGAGGCGCCAGAGATGACCCGGTCGTCGTCCAGGGACTGGCAACAGGCGCAAACGATCCGGCGGAGGTGGCGAGCGACGAGGAAGTTGGCGCCGTGGACGCTGGCGTCGCATGCCCAACACAGGGACGCCGCGTCCGCCTCGCAGTGGACGGCGGCGCCGCCGCCGCAGAGTTCGCATGCGGCTCCCGGCTTCGCCTCTACGGCCGTAGAAGCCATCGATCCCGTGAAGGCCGGCAGCATGGCTGTGACGTGAGAGAAGAGAAGGAAGAAGTCGCACAGCAGATGGAAGAGGACGAGATTCGTGCCATATTATACTGAGAGAGAGAGAGAGAGAGAGCGCGCAAACGGGGGCGAAGATTACGGAAGGAATCCGGACAGTTTGAAACGGAACGGTAACGGAAGAAGACGACGTTTATGTAGTTAAAAGTAACTACTGCCATGAAAAGGAACAGTCCAAAGTCTAATAATGAGAAAAGATCGAACCCAAATAGTTAGGTCACTAATATTATTTATAACCTTATGATGCTTTGTGATTGCTGTAACATTCGAATGATGATGATGATTATTATTATTTTAATTGTGATGCACAGTTGGTCATCATTTGCTTGGTGGGGTTTTGTATATGCAATTAGCAAAAGTGCATATTACATTGTTTTTATTGATTACCAAGTGCCATGTTTCTTATCTCTAACTTCTGCATGAGTTAAATGAGAGTAAGCATAGAATCAGGTTTTTCAAGCTTGGATGATACTATTCTTCATCTATTTCCAATATATGATGAGCATAGATTCTTACCAAAGCAACAAAGAACAAGCAATGACAATAGAGGCTCTCAAAGTCAAAAAGTAAACAAAGAATAGAAGAAAGATGCAGGATGGAACAAGACACACACACAGATGCTTCAAGCTGTGTAACTCAGTTTTCAGAGATGCAATGAAGAAAAGAGTTACAGAGATGAACACAGAGCTGACATTAGATGGATACTGCAAGGAAGATTCCATGCACAAGTTACCTGCAAATTGGCATCACTTTATGTCATGAATAATAGACTTACTTGCATCAAAATCTTGAAAGACCAACCTTCACATATGATACTTCAATATATTTGGAGCTTATCCACAGGAATGATATGTCATTGCAGAACAATGGACAATTCAGATGCCAATCTCCTTACAGAGCATGATAACTCCATGTTTAGAATCAGAAACTGTATCTTGCTTAGTGAAACAATAGAATGAACAAAGCTGTGTTACTGCAGCCCATCCTAAGCATGTTGTCATTCCTCATCCACCAAACTTTATGAACTGAACACCTGCATCACTTGTAATTAACTGTACCAAGCATTTTAATCTGCCACTTGCTCAATATCTTCATCAAGATCTTTGAATATACAGATGTGACTGCTGTCCACAATTACCTGTTTGAAATAAGAATTAAATAGTTGGTGAGCTTAGGACATTTGGCATATCATTTAAACTACTGCCAATCAGTGAAATTTACACATCAGGCCGAACCCAGCATATACCTCGCGACAATTTAGCCAATTAGGTTGAGCTAGCAAACGAAAGTCAAAAGATTTAGTGAAAAATTTAAATAAATCTTCATTATATGCCCACAATTGCCTCTTTCTCTAATACATCAAAAGTCCCAGTCTTGTTGTACTAATTAGGCCATCCTTAGAAAAGCTTCCAGGCCTCATATACAAATAGAGAAGGAAAGGAAAGAGAAAACTGTACACCCAAATTATGGAGCACAATTCCGCCTCAAACCCATCCAATAAACAAATCTTGGATCCGGCATACTCCTGATTCCCATCGGCGAAATTTCTGCATCCGTTAAACTGGTACGACATCAAGCTTCAAAGTGTCTTTGCACCCTAACACAATCCCATCGAGCAATCCTGTTGGCCAATTACTGCATCTCTTAAACAGGTACGACATCAAGCTTTGAAGTGTCTTCACACCTTAACACAATCCCATTAAGACTCACTGGGAGAAAGCAATTGGTCCATTGGCAACCTGTTGAAACTGGCTCAGATGGAGGAATGATCATAATTACATTCTCATTCCTTCGGACAACTCCCATCACACTTACAGTACTGCCTTCCTTGATATACCTACAAGTAAAGAGATGGCACAGTTTCTGAGTTGAATGGTTCCTAGCTCTGAATTACTCTTTGCCCAAAATAAACAACCATCAGTACGATGATAGTTATGTTACCTTCTTACAGGTAACTTTTTTTTTGCTTAGCTATTAGGAAATCTGTGATTACGAAAATATACTAGGATCCCTAGCAAAAATCACAATCAGTGATACTTCAACTTCTGTTAACATGATTAAATTTAAAGATAAAGCTACCAACTAATATAGCCATGAAGAAAAGTTACCCTTCTTTCACACGCATAATACGATCGTCGCTTGAAAGGTTCCTCTGAGCCAACCACCCAAGGAATTCAGGAGATAGGTCTTTCTTGCTTGGGTTGACATTGAACACAATGGACTCATCAACATATGACGTCACCTTTGCACCATAACCAGTCTTTACCAATGCTCTTAACCCAGATTGAAAATCTGAAATGTAGAAGTCAACCACATGCCTCTGCCAAAAGTTAAACATCAATTTTGAGAGAGTCCCAAGAATCAAGGCATCTGTCTGTCTCCATGAGAGCAGTATTATGGTTTTGTAGCAATATCTCAGCAGATAAACAGATTTTTAGTTCAATAAAAGATTTTTACTTCAATAAATGTTTAAGGCTAATGGAGCATGTATTGACAGTAATGACACCTATATAAAAATTTCACTTACTAGATAAACCTTTCTATCAGAATAAATGCAAAGTAGATTGAAGAGTATGATAGTACTTTGTCGCTTACCTCCATTGATCTAAGACCCCATGTAAAACAGCGATGCTGTGGATTTGCAGGCTTAGATTTCCAACCCCTGTATTCATATAGACTTGTAGATGTGTACACACATCTGGGTATCTTCTCAAAAGATGATTCAAGGGGAACATTTCCACAGGTAACGATCTGCAAATTATGTGGAGAATAAGTCACACAAAGTATAAAGATCAACATCTGGTATCAACCAACAAAAATCAAAATGGAAAAATAAAATAAATTGCGCTAGTAACAATCATATATCCAAACACAAATAAAGGAGCCACATCTTTCGGTAGTAGATTATCAATCAAGAACATATGTAAATATAATACGTATGGTAAAGGTAGATAAGTTAATGACTAAGGTGCCACACCCATAAGGCAGCTTCTCCAGATATTATTGCATACTGGTATTTTATTGGCTGGTCCATCCTGTAACAGTGGACATTCTATTCTATAGAGAGATATCATAAAAGAGAGCAAGAATATCTTTTAATTGGAGTCTGGAAACTAAAAACCATTAATAAGTATCAGGAACATAAAGCTTGAAGCCCATATTGCCACAAGTCATGTATAAAGTATTGTTGAACAAGCATGACAACCAACCTTTTTTGTAACCGATGCTACTTGTTATCTTCCATATAACAGTAAGTTTAACTTTCTTCTTACATATAGTAGACAGTGGTTTAGAGTTTAGATAATATAGTCTAAAAGAGGACTCTGCCAAATAGCACATTGGGTAAAAGAGGGTATCATCAATGCAGTCTAATTCAAATCATTGTTAGTGAATGGCTAGCCTGTGCAAAATTTTCATTTTGACCTTTCCTACGCTTAAGCATACCCGCATTCCCATCTGTTATTTGTGAAACCAAACAAATTGGAAAGCTAAAACTTTCCACGAAAATGTCATTAGCTTAATCTACAAGAATTTTAAAAGCTTAGGCGGAGGAAAGTTTTTAACGCACAAAGTAAAATATTGATCCAATTCATCTAAGTTTATATTTTGAAAGGAAAATCTAATTTATTTAAGCCTGATAGCTACATAATTTGGTCTTTAACCAAAAGGGTAACATGATTTGGTCTTTCAACAAAGATACCTACCCCAGACACCTTAACATATTGACCATCTTTTGCAGTTCTTAGCTCAGCATCAGGATAGTGTGCAATGAGCCGTATCATAGCTCTTCTTCCCCAGCAAGCATTCCAAATGAAAAGTGCAACTACAACACCAAAAAGAGTACAAAAATAATCAGAAGAATGACATTATGAACAGCTCCAAGAATAAATCCAACAGCAACAAATCTTAACACAAACAGAAAAATCACAGCCCACAATAATGGTTTGGAGATGTTACTCTTAGAAGAAGATTTGTCTTCCCGAATGATAGTAGTGACAGCCTGTTTGTGTACAGTCGAAGGGATATGTATCTTAGCTGAACCAGCGAAATCCAATGGGCCAGGCACTTTTCGGGGGGTTCCAGATGAATTTAGAGGACCCGAAGAAACAGGACCAGATGTTATAAGTCCTGTCGCACGGAGAGGAAGAGGACCAGAACTTTGGCCTGCCATCAAGTTAGCCCCTCCAGATTGCTGACCAGATGACTTCTTCATAGAATCATTTTGTTTGTTAAGAGGTCCTGAATTGGATTTTAGTCTATTTGAGCTTCCAGTCCCTGTAACTCCTGTCGATGAAACTGGACCAGATGAATGGTTTGACCGATTGCCTGAGTTGGGAACTATAGGTCCTGAAAAAGAAGCAGCATGTCCAAACGTTTCGGTCTTTGCAGGAGTGCTTGTTATAGGACCAGACTTTCTTGACCTAGATTTATCCGTTGGTATGTCAAACATCTTCCCCAGTTCTCCAGATTTCTTAACATCTCCACCAGTGTATGGCATGGCTACAGAGCTCATAGATGGAGGCTTCTTCTTTGGTTGCTCAGGGCGGCCTGACACGTACAGACCATTGCTGAGTTGATGTGATGGGAATCTAGATCCCATGGAGCTTTGCTTGTAGGTTCGTTAAATCTTGCTAGATCAGATGAAACCTAAACTGCTGTTGGTCTTTATTTGGAAATACTTGAGAGCAACTCCAGTTACAGGCATAATAACAGGAACACTTTTATATCCAACAAGCCCATAATGGTGGAGTTAGGTGCAACCATATGGACACTCCTCATAATGCTCCAATGTAATTCTGTTGAACAGCATCGGATGATAATAAGCCAAAAAGAAAAATAAGCAAAATTTTCTCATGAATTCTTGTTGTTGTGGATGTAATCTGCCTTCAAGTAGACAGATCATAAAGAGAGAACTAAAATGCAGTGCAGACTTTACAAGAAAGTAGTTGTCAAACAAATTTTCTTTCACTAAACCAATTAGCAAAACAGCCTGGAACAGAATCCAGATAACCATTTAAAGTTCCCAGTTGATATATTTAT